TGACTCTCTATCCCTCTCCCTTCCTCTCTGTAAAAAATCAATAAAATATATTTTAAAAATATATATACTTTAAAAATCAATGGAAAAATATCCTCAAGTGAAGATAAATAAATAAATGAATATATAAATAAAATGAAATGAAAAAAAAAACATGCTTTAAAAAACACACACTGCCCTAGTTGGTTTGGCTCAGTGGATAGAGCGTCAGCCTGTGGACTGAAGGATCCCAGGTTGGATTCCGGCCAAGGGCACATGCCTGGGTTGCGGGCTTGATCCCCAGTAGGGGGCGTGCAAGAAGCAGCCGATCCATGATTCTCTCTCATCATCGATGTTTCTCTCTCTCTCTCCCTCTCCCTTCCTCTCTGAAATAAATAAAATATATATATTTAAAAAAAAACACACACACACAGAGGATAGTAGTAGCAAAGGTAGTAATAATTGCTAATATTCATAGAACACCTGCTGTACCCAGGGTCCCTGGTCCAAGCTTTACTTTCCCTAATTTTCACCAGGGACCTGCGCACCAGCTTCTATTGCCCCCCATTTACAGAGGGAAGCAGACTCAGAGCGCCTCCGTCATTCTGTTCGAGGTCTCACAGCCAAGATATGAGACCTGCAAACTGGCTGCCTCCAAAGACCATGGTTCGAGAAGCCGGGCTGCAGAGCGTCTGAGCCCCGAACCCAGGCCGGCATGTTCCCAAACCCTCCTCCCACTTCCTGGCTCTATTGCTTTGCAGAGCGGTTTCCCTCTCTGAGTCTCACTTTTCTTTTTTCTTTTTTTAAAAAAATTTATTTTATTGATTTCAGAGAGGGAAGGAGAGAGAAAGAGAGATAGAAACATCAATGATGACAGAGAATCATTGATCAGCTGCCTCCTGCACGCCCGATCGAGCCCACAACCCGGGCGTGTGACCTTGACTAGAATCGAACCCAGGACCTCCATGGGATGACGCTCAGTCCACTGAGCCACCACAGCTGGGCCTGAGTCTCACTTTTCTATTTTGAAAAACAGAGGTCACAATAGAGAGCTAAGAGGATTAACAGCTCTGGGGTTTAGTAGGTAAAATATAACAAATGATTATTCTCTAAGTCAACTGGCAAAGAGCTGGCCAACTTCTCCCACAGCGAATTAATCCCTTTCCCTTCCCTTGTAGACATTTAATTAAGACCTGAGTTTCCCGTAGGGACTCACAGGCTCCAAGCTCACACAAACTGCTGAATAAAAATATGAATGGATTGCACTGAGTACACAATATCACTACTGGGGGGGTGGGGGAGAGGAAAAAAGAATTTTAATCATTTTAAATTGATTTTCAGAGAGAGAGGCAGGGAGAGGGATAGAGAGAGAGCAACATCGATGAGACAGGAACATCATCGATTGGCTGCCTCCTGCATGCCCCTAACTGGGGATCGAGCCTGCAACCCGGGCATGTGTCCTGACCAGGAACCAGAGCAGTAATCTCTTGATTTCTGAATTGGCATTCAACTGCTGGGCCACCGCAGCCGGGTGAAAGAAAAAAGAAAAGAATTTTTAAAAAATGGATGCCCCTGGGTATTTATTCTTCACACAAAAATGTGTGTACAATGTTCATAGCAGCTTTATCTGTAATAGCTCAAATCTGAAATGAGCCGTGTCCCTTATCAGCCACTGGATAAGCAAACTGGTACACAGGTATAATGGAATACAGCTGAGCAACGAGAAGGAATGAACAATTGATACAAGCAACAACTTGAATGGATCTGAAGGGCATTATGTAGAGTGACAAAAAGCCAATTTCGAAGGGTTGCATGGTGTACGATTCCCATTGATATAACGTTCTCCAAGTGACAAAGTTAGCGATGGAGAACAGACAAGCCACCGCTGGGTAGGGTTTGGGGGAGGGGGCGTTGATTTAGGGGTAACACGGGAGTGTCTTTGTGAGAAGGAACAGCTCTGTATACGGACTGTGGTGCTAGACACTCAAACCCTCACATTCGATAACATTTCTTAGAGCTCTGAGTGCTGAAGACATGAGTCAGGCCTGAAACTGGTTACATAACAGGAATATCAATTCCTGGCCTTCAGGACGGACTATAGTTACCTCAGATGTCACTGGGGGAAGCTGGGTGCTGGGGTCAAAGGAACACTCTGTTCTATTCTTTTGCAACTTCTTAAAAACGATTTCAAATAAAAACTTACAATTTAAAATTGCTGGCAGGCCTGATTTGGCTCAGTGGCTAGAGCGTCGGCCTGCAGACCAAAGGGTCCCGGGTTCGATTCCGGTCAAGGCAGGTATCTGAGTGGCAGGCTCCTCCCCGGCCTGGGCCCTGGTCGGGGTACCTGCAGGAGGCAACCAATCGATGTGTTTCTCTCACATCAATGTTTCTCTCCGTCTCTCCCTCTCTCTAAATATCAATGGGAAAATATCCTTGGGCGAAGATTAACAAAACAACAAAAATTAAAAAAATTAAATTGCTGGCAGTGAGTTTGCGTACCCAGAGAAGTCATTTTGCAATATCTGGTAAAGTGTAAAATGAGGGTATGGCCCTGGCCAGTGTGGCTCACTGGATAGAGCGTCGGCCTGTAGACCGAAGGGTCCCGGGTTCAATTCTGCTCAAGGGCATGTACCTCGGTCGCAGGCTCCTCCCTGGCCCGGGCCCCAGTCAGGGCGCGTGCAGGAGGCAACCGATCGCTGTGTTTCTCTCACATCGATATATATCTGTTTTCCCTCTCTCTTCCATTCTCCCTAAAAGTCAATGGGAAAATACCCTCGGGTGAGGGTTAAAATGAGGGCATGGCCTGGCCCAGCGATTTCCATCCCGGGCAGAAGATCTGTACCCCTGAGAAGCGCTCAGAGCTGCGCCCGAGAAGACACGTGAGAGGACATGGACTGCAGCATCGGGAGTGGTCATCAAAATTGGGAACAGCCATCGGTAACAAAACAACGGCAAATAGACGGTGGCAGATTCTAACCACCGGATGCCACGGAGCGAGGAAAACGAATGCGCTAACTCCACACTGTTTACACGGAATCTCAGATCTCCCGGGTAAAAAGCACGTGCCTGGCCGGTGTGGCTCAGTGGGTTGGAGCATTGCTCTACACAGCAAGAGGTGACCGGTCAGATTCCCAGTCAGGGCACATGCCCAGGTCAGGGCGTCTCGAGGAAGCAACCAACCAATGTATCTCTCTCACATCGATGTCTCTCTCTCTCTCTCTCTGTCTCAAATCACTTAAAAAAGAAAAAGAAAAGCCCTAACTGATGGCGCCGAAAGCTAAGAAGGAAGCCCCTGCCCCTCCCAAAGCCGAAGCCAAAGCAAAGGCTTTGAAGGCAAAGAAAGCAGTGTTGAAAGGCGTCCACAGGCACACAAAAAAGAAGATCCGCACGTCACCCACTTTCCGACAGCCAAAGACAATAAGGCTCCTGAGGCAGCCGAAATACCCTCGGAAGAGCGCACCCAGGAGAAACAAGCCATCATCAAATTCCCCCTGACTACCGAGTCAGCCATGAAGAAGATAGAAGACAATAATACACTAGTGTTGATTGTGGATGTCCAGGCCAACAAGTTCCAGATCAAACAGGCTGTGAAGAAGCTCTACGACATTGATGTGGCCAAGGTCAACACCCTGATCAGGCCTGATGGCGAGAAG